AATTAAAAAGGGCTCTTTTGTAATGACCTACACACCGTTGTGGTTACTTGATGTCAGCCAGCAGGTCATGAGAATATCCACTTGATGTTAGTGATCAATCACATGATAGCCTCACTGGCCTGTGGCTAACCAGTTAATGTTAACAACATTTTAATTTCAAGCCTTAAAGCCACAATGAGTGGAAAATGTCTGCCTGGAAAAAGGAGTGTAGAAGTAAGAAAGCGCATGTCTCACCTGTGTCTTGCCCTGCTGGCCGTAGACGATCTTGGTCGGGATGATCTTGGTGGCGGTGGACTGGGATCCAGAGCTCATGCCTTTGGGTTGGGTGACGATCATCTTGGTGATGGGTCTGGAGGCCGTGATGATCGCTGGTTTGGTCCCCTGAACAGCCTGCAGGCCCTTCTCACCCTGAGGTAGACACAGAGTCTGGTATGACCATCACAGTTCATATTAAATTCAAACCAAAGTTTCATCACAAGGCAATAAAATGCATGAAAACAGTACATTGAAAACAAAGGTAAAATGCAGAACTGTTCACAAAATAGCGATAACATTTCAAAACATAAAAAACATACTTTTAAGCAGAAGTTCTACATTTTGATAGAGACAGGTTAGCTGCTTCCAGTCTAAGCTAAGCTAACCCTGATGCTGGCTGTGGCTTGATATTTAAGAAACAGCTGAGAGAGTGGAATCAATGTGAACATCTAACCCTGCAACAGAGAGCAAATAAGCAAACAAACATTCATGCAATCAGAATAATTTGGAAGATTACTACATTTATTACAGCCTTTAATCTACTATGGTATGGGCCCGATCACGGTATTATGTTATACCCGTCACACCCATCTTTCTGGTGGATTGATCACATTGGCTCTCTCTGCTTTATATCATAATGTTAGTGGCAATTCACTTGGCATTTTTAATAACCGCCACCGTCTGTCCGTGGGAACAATGTACATGTAAGAGTCTGATCATTATAAGCTGTCTTTTTACAGTCTACTTTTAATGTGAAATTACTTTTCTCTGACTCTTATTTTTCCGACTATCTCTCATTTGCCCAGTGTAACACAGGCTGTGTATGTACTTCTATAGATACCACCGAAGTCTAAATTGACTGATTACTTTCTCCATTTATCGTTAGATCTGTAATGTTCCCAGAGCCCATGGTGGTGTTATCTTTGTGCCAACGGTCCAAGAGTAAGAAAACTAGAAAATATTAATTTTCTCTCCATACATACGCTACAAAATAAATATAT